TGTTTCCCAGCATTACACAGGGGGATCCCTAGTCCATACCCCACCTCCCATCTCAGCAGTGCAGAGACACATGATTACATCTCTAAAAACTGGCTGTATACCCTGCCTGCCTCCATTCAGCTGTGTGACCCTGAGTGAGTCACTGCACTGCTGAGCTTCATGTCTATGCAGCCACAGGGTGGAGGTGAGGATGTGCCACCCTGGCAGGGCTCCTTACAGTCAAGACCAAACACCTTCCATTTGGAGGAAGCCACCGAACTGGGAAGAATGTACATGGCATTGTCTTATAACTATACAACATGACTCTAGGTATCCTTGGAGGGCAAAATAGACATGATGTGATTTTCAAGCTAAAATCATGTGATAGAACCTCCATATATTGAGCAATATAAAGAGAATGAAGCAACTGAGAGGCGGGGTAGAGTAATTCTATCTGCCCACAGCAATAAGCCCATTAAATGCAAAAGCTGCCTAAAAGATGTCAACAAAAAGCAGCCATAATCTCACATTTACTCTACTCCTCAGTAGAGAATTTTTATTATAAGATTTTAAATGCTTTTCTTACTTCCTCCAATTTGTAATTTTCCCATTCATTGGTTATTTCCCCAGAATGACTAGCAGGGTTTTTTTTTTGTAATCATAAAATTATAAAGTGAATATGTAGTTAGAAAGAACAGGTGGTCTACTGAGGGCTGGTAGAAACTATTTCTTATTTCTCAGCTGCACTGATCTAAAAAGGAAGCTGAGAATAGCAACAGAAGTGTGCAGAAGGGAGGAAATAGGAATCCTACATAATGATTAATATTTGCCACCAAATCATTAGACACTGGGCATCTGTAACATGCATTTTCTCACTTATCCACTCTCGGACATATGCATTACAATTATCCCCATTTCACATTTTGAAGAAAGTGAGATTTAGAAAAAGAATAAGAAACTCACATGAGATGTTAAAGAATAGAAATCACAGTATGGTGATATAACCATGAGCCTTTCGATTCTCAGTCCAGCTCTCTTTCTCTCTCTCTCTCTTAGCCCCTACTTAATTCTATCCAGAAAATTAGTGCAAGAAAAAACTAGAAAAACTGGATTTGGAATGCTGAGGTAATAAAAGCAAACCTGCAATACAATCAGCAGAGGAGTAAATCCTAGGCCATTTTGCCTTCTTCCGTATATGGTATGGGCTTGGGACTCTGTTCCTCCTAGGTTAGGGGTCCACAAACAATAGAGATTAGAGTCTAGAGGGAAATTTGGGAGCATTTCACAAATTCCTGGACTAGGTAAGAAGTGAAATGAACTTTAGAGTATTGAGAACTTGTCTCCACTAACAGATGACCAAGGGGGACAATAAACCTACAGAAGATCTTCATCAGAGGTTTTATTGTTGTGCTTGACATTGAATGATGGCTCCTAAGCATTTGAAGTACTGTAGAATTTTGGAGAATCTAACGAAAGTCCTGGATTTTCTCCAAGAAAGCTTGTGTATCCACAAACGCATAAAACCTTACATGGAGTTTCGGGTGCTTTATGCTCCCACACAGACTGTCCCCCCGAGGAGTTCAGAGACAGAGCTTTAAAAGTTTGTGAAGTGGTCTGAGCTCTTCTACTATCAAGCTGTGTGATCTTGAGCATGTGGCTGTATTTTGCTGTTTCATTTCTAAGCAAATCATTGAGGAAGAACTGCTACCTTGAGTAGTGCCAGAGAATTTTTTCCAGTAGTGTGGGTGGAACCCAGAAAATTTGCACTAAGATAGGTCTCCAGACACCTCCCCAAATTTTTAAATTAAAATTTAAAAAGAAACCTTTTAGATAAGATATCAGTGAATCGCCAAGATGGTCAGGCTGTGCTTGAACTTGTGACCCTCCAGCCTCAATCTATCAGAATGCTAGGATTATGGCCATGCACCAGTAAGCTTGGCTCAGTGCTAAGGGTGTACACACACTCAACTGTAGATGTTTCACCAAACAAATAATGCATCAAAAAATGGGGAAGAAGTTGTTCATGGAAAGAAAACTCCATAGAAGCATGCAGAGTCTTTAAAGTAGATAAAAAGCATTTTCATGAGGATGAAGAGGTCAACATATCCTTTAAGAGGCTATGAAGGGAACCAGGAGGGAAACAGCATTGCATGGTGTTAGATCAAGGCTAGGCTGGCCTTGGTGAGGCCCACCTGTAATGCCAGCACTTAGGAGGCTGAGGCAGTAGGATCACCACTAATTTGAGGACAGCCTGGACTACATAGGAAGTTCAAAGGCAGTCTGAACTCACAGCAGGAACCCATCTCCACAAAACAAATCAGCTGAGAAGACATGGATTAAATCCACATGCATCATGGGCTGGACAAGTTATTAATCTTTCACCTCTAAAAAGATTATCACTGTATGTATCAAGAAATGCCTATTGATAAAAAAGACCTTAGTATGAGTTCCCTCATACAAATGGTGATCTCCCATGTCTTTACCTATAAAATGGAAATAATATCTGCCCTTAGCTAGAAGATCACTGAGATTAAAATATGAAAATGGATGCTAAAACACTTAAAACAGCACCTAATACACAGCTGGTTCCTCACTAGGTGGGAACTGCTAATATTACTGTGGATATTTCACTGTAACAAATAGTGGGACTATAAGTGGTAACAGGTTTTTATTTCAGTTTGGAAGGCCAGGTAAAATAAAGTAATATCTATAAACATGCAATGGGAGCTAGTTTGTCTGGATCTGTTATCTCAGAGCTATGTGGCTTTGGAAAATTTACATAAAATAGGGCCATGAATATCTGCCAAAGACATGTTAAATGACACGGCCCGGGTGGACATCTTAACATTGACTCACCATATATATAAGGTGTGAACAAGAAGTTCAGTGAATGTTTAAAATTTTTTAAAGTATTATAATAAAAAATACATTGTCATTAATATTCCTTAATATATCCCCCCTCGCTAAAGTCATGCCTGTCCCATTTTTCTTGACACTTTGTGAAGCAGTGTTGAAATCCTGTGGCATGAGTATCTGTAGTTGTGCTGTCGTGGCTCCTTTGATGCCCTGAATCAATTCAAAATATTCAACACAATTCTGTCAAATAAAAATATTACAATGTGTCCTCAGCCACAGAATATGGCACCACATGAATTCTAGCTCTTGCCCCAAATCAGAGGGACCATGAAAGATAAATGTTCTGAAGAGATGCAGGACAGAAAAGCAGCCAAAACACTGTGACTGAGGACCCTCTCTCAGGAAAGTGTGCTTACAGAGCTGCTTCGGAAAGCAGCAGTGATGCTGAGACAAGAGTGTCCGAAGGGAGGGACAGCATTCTGTCTGTCACTGTCATAATGTTCTTAATTTAACCATTTATCATATTTTTTGTTCACATGTCATATGGCTTCAGTAAAACTCATTTCTCTCATAAGGACCAAAGTGACCTGGAGACTAACTGGTGCCTCACAACAAGCATTTCTTCAGTACCACCGACCATGGCTATGCAGCAGGCTCTCTCTCTCTCTCTCTCTCTCTCTCTCTCTCTCTCTCTCTCTCTCTCTCTCCCTCTCTCTCTCCCCCTCTCTCTGCTGGGATTTGCTCAGCAGGCATGAAATGAGACTTAGCAGAGGCATACTGAGGAAGGTAAGACAAGGCATGATGCCGCATTTCCTCACAGCTCAGTGTGCAGTAATCTAGCACTTCATCTTGATTTATATTCTTACTTCAGAATATAAAGCCTATCCCTCCAAGCCTGACTTCTGAGCCTGTGTGAGTGATCTTACATTGCCTCCTATGCAGAGTTAAAGGATGGCTGCTCTTTGGCTAATAAACATAGACACAGATACCCACACCCTCTGTTAATCAGACAGAAGAACAATATGATGTGTTCTTCTCAGGAGCTTGAAAATGGTCACATCAAGTGTAGAGAGGATATGGGAAAGCACAAATTCTACTGGTGGAAAGTCGAGCAGGATAGCCTTCCTCTTGAACAATTTTGTAATATCTGCTGAGGTTAAAAATGCACATTTTTCCACCTAGCATTTCTACTTCTTGGCCACCAACTTATCTACAGAAACATTTGCATAAATGCTTAAGAACATACATTCCAGGGCTTTCACAGCAACACTATTTATATTAATGAAAAATGAATATGCTATTATATGCTATTAAATAGTAAACAGATACTGTGAGACCCACACTATAAAATAGTGTGCAGCAACTTAACATAATGATGCAAATCACTACATCAACTAGACAAGACAGTGGACCGATGTATAACATTAAGTGAGTAAAGCAAAATAGAGATGAAGCCGCACATGGCTGCTGATGACTTTTTACAAATACACAGCGTAAGCCAGGCCTGTAATCCCCACACTCGGAATGCCTAGGCAGGAGGATCCTGACAAGTTCAATAGCAGTCTGGGCTACAAAGTGAGCTCAAGGCCAGCCTGACTGCATAGCGACCCCTGTCTCAAAAAGATAATAACAACAACAAAAAATATGCGACATACAAAAATATATTTCTGTGCCATGAACACACATAAGAGGATGAAAAAAGATCTAAATAGTTTGTCTTTAGTGAATAATAGTGATTACCTTTGAGGAAAGTTCTGGAACTGAGGACAGGGTTTCAAAGAGGAGTTTATTTCAGTACTTACATGCCCCTAACCAAAAGTACCTCAGCATAAGGATTGTATGATTTAAAATAAAAAAGTAGTATTTTGAAAAATGAGTAGGCGCTTTATGCACCATTATTCCCAGCTTCAAGCAGAAGTTGCTGAGGAAGGATGGAGATACTGCCAGAGGGGCTTGGGAATGGAAAAGAGGAAGGCAGGAGCCAGCCCTGAGGCCTGCAGCGAATTTCACTTTCATCTCAGCTTGCAGGAGGAAGTGGGACAGGACCACAGTGCAGCACAAACAGCTGAATCCCAAGACAGGATGCGAGGGTGAGACTGTTCCCACACAAAACAGCCACAGGGACACAGCTGCTCTTGTGGGAAAGAAGGCACTGGATGACTTACCCGCCGTCTGGGATGTCAATGGGTGACCCCAAGCTATGGCTCCTTAAAAAAAAAAATAAAAAAGGAAAAGATAAAACAAACTTACTGAGCTTCTACAAAGAAAACTGATGCACTTGGAATTAGCAGGAGACCACTTGTCTATATGGCAAAATGCCAGAGATGTGCCACGTGCCACCACAGAGAAATCCACAAGAAAAATGTTCTCCTCCCTGTCCCAAGAGACACAGAAAGGAGCCAGCTACAAAAGCTTCCCCATTATCACTTTGTGCCAGTTGGATCTCACCACCCAGAGGACTCAGGATCAAGTCTAATAATCTGAGTCACGGTCCCATCTTTCAGTGGTTGCCTCTCCCTGAGACAAAGGGTAAGGAAGACCGAGCAAGTGTCCCCAGACCTTTGGACGGGAGCAAGCCGCTGTCTGTAGAAGTCTCCTTAGGGCTTCTCCGAGAGTCACTGGACAGAAGAAAAGTTCCTGATCCTGGAAGAGAAAAGTGGTTGACAAAGTCACCTGAAAATACCAGCATTAATAGTAGTTGTGGATGGTGGGACCAGGGCTATTTTTATAGCCATCTCTGAATGTCTCTGAATATTTCCAGTTTTCCTCAAAGATTGCAGGAATATTTGGAGAAACTACAAATGTTGTGTCATAAAATGATTATTTAACAGCACATAGGAATTTTTTAAATGTACAAAAATTGGTTAATGCAGAGTTCTTGGATTTTGCTGACAACTCAAAGTATAACAAAGGTCTACTACTCAATATTCTATATCTGTTTGAGCTATCCAGGTCTTATTGAGGCAGCTGAAATGCCTATGTAAACTTTCAAGCTTTCTCATTATTGTTTTCCAAAATTCTCACCTCAGAATCAGAGAATGAAATACATGGAAGCCTTCACAACCCACCCAGCTAGAAAAAGAGTCACTTGAGAGGTGTAAAAGGCAAGGCCAAGAAAACTTAGAAGCAGGAGACAGACAGACAGAGAGACAGAGACAGAGACAGAGAGAAAGAGAGAGAGAGAGAATAGAGCCATTTCAGCATGAAGGGATATTTGAAGCTGTTTTGAGAGCTGTCCTCAACCAGTCTGTAATTCAGGCAGAGATTTGCTCTAAGAAAGGACAAAGCTGGGGACTGACCCAGAATAACCTTTCCTGATTCTTTAATAAGCAACTCCTGCTATGCTCCAGCGAGTGAGAACCCAAATGCTGACTTTGCAGAAACACACACAAGAAAAGAAACTAAAAAATTAAACAAAACAAGCAGTGTAGCATGCTACATCTTTAAACACACCAACATGCATGCACAGCTGCCCAGTATTACAGGTTGCACTGTGTCCCTCCAAAATTCAGCTGGGGAAATGACCACCCTCAATACCTCCTAATGTGACTGTATTCCACATAGGGCTTTTAAAGAGGAGATTAAGGCAGAATGAGGTCATATGGATAAATCCTAACCCAGTGTGACTGGTACCCCTAAAATTAGATTAGGACACAGGAAAGTCAGAGAGGAGACCACATGAAGACATAATGAGTAGAAAGTGATCTACAAACTGTGGAAAGAAGATATAGAAGAAATCAAAGCTGCTGACACCTTAACTTCTAAAACCCGGAAGTAGAGGGAAATAAATTGCAATTGTTTAAGCCACTCAGTCTGCAGAATTTGTTATGGTAGCTAGGTCAGCAAACAAATACACACACACACACACACACACACACACACACACACACACAGGAGTACATCACTGGGAAGCCCCATGTAGTGGGAGAACCCTGTTCCAGGAAAGCAAGGCACATGTGCCAGTAGAAGAGGAAAATGGCCATTTCCATCCTGTACCTGCTGTGGACGTGGGCCCTTCCATGGACGGCTCGAGTGCGATCTCTGGTGCAGAGGTTGGCCTTGTCAGGGGGCACAGGGGCGCTGTTGTTGAGAAGACAGAGGTGGCCTTTGTCTGAAGTGGGACTGTGGCTGTGAGCTCACGTGTAGTCACAAGGGTTGTCGACGGCACAGTTGTAGTTGTTGGCATGAGAGGGGTGGTGGCTTGGAGGGAGGTCGTTGTAGTCAACAGTGTTGGCTCTGCAGCTCTGGTTGTAGGCATGTGTGGGGTGGTGGCTGGCTTGGAGGTTGCTATAATCATGCCTGTTGTTGGCAGCACAGTTGTTGGCAGCAAATGAGGGGTGGTAGTTTGGCGGGAGGTTGTTGTTTGTCTGGTAGTTGTCGGGGCTGTAACCAAGAGAAGATGTGTTATGCACCAAGCAAGAGGGGATCTATACATTCCTCTCCATTTCTGTTACTTTCACCTGGTCCACTGGCCTGGCTCACTGTAATGCTACTAAAACTGGGTTTCTTGCCTCCATTGTTTTGTCTTCCAATCTATTCTACTTACAATAGCTTGAGTATTTTTTTAAAATTGCTAATCTATTTATGCCAATTATCTAGTTAAAATTTTATGGGGTCCTCCTTGTCTATAAGATACAGAATCCAGCCCTTTGGCATAGATAGCACCATCTGTCCTGAACCTGCCTTTCTTTCTAATCACATGTCCTAACTCTCTTCTCACTTTTCTCAGACCACTTGGATTTCTTCAGTTTTCTGAACACATCAGTGGTCTTTCAGCTATAGGAATTTCTCATCCTATTCACACTTTACTAATCCACTAGGCTGACTCTGCCGTATCATTCAAGTCTCAGCTACAAGGTCAGATTCTACAGTAAAGGAATCTCTGTTAAGTATTCTCTTGATCTTCACAGCATTTATGCTATTTAATAACTACATATTTCCTTAATTGTTATTGTGTACTGTCTCCTTCTCCGTCTAGACTGTAAATACCATTAGAAAAATCAGGTACTATATTTTGTTCCCTGCTATGAATTTAATACACATAACAGTGTCTGGCAAGTAGTAGGCAACCTACAATGATAATGCTGTCTTCTTCTTACATCAACGATTCATTCATGACAACATCACTTAATCCAACAATATCAACCTTTGGGTTTATTACTCACAATTTATTATATGATTCTTACCATTTCTACAATATGCAAAATTCCTACAGATTCCAATGAAACAGAAAGACATTAATTGTTCCAACTGAACTTAGAAATGACCCTATAGAAGATTGAGGTCAACAAGTACATTATAAAATGATAGCTAGATATATCAGGTAAGACAAGCCTGGGATTGGAGTCATTTATCTTTAATAAATATCATTGTCCTCTTATGTCAAATCAGAATAGCACCTTCTAGGTTACATAGTTGCTTTAAGAGGAAAACATCCTAATTACCCTAATATGTAAGGAAGTTCTCTAATTAAAAGCATGCATATCCACTGGTGTGCAGTTTTAGTATGCATTAGATAAATTTGCAAAGCGTAAAGCATAATACTTGGAGTCCCCACTCTCCAAGGCATCAGTCTGTTGGGAGCAGAGCCCAGGATTGGAAAGCTCAACTAAGACAAGCATGAATGGTGATTATCATTAACATAATTCAACTCCAGGCTCAGTGCAACTGATTCTATAAACTCAAAATCTTTAGGAGTCCCAGCACATGCCAAATGTTATCAAAACCAACAAAGAGGGATATAGAAAAAAGCCAGGACACTGGTAAGATTGTCTCCAAATCCGATGACCTTTCTTCTACCAGAAGTCACAAACTATCTACAGGATGGAGCTGTCCTACAGATGTGCTCTACTCAGTTTGTACCATTTGTTATTTTGTTTTTCAAATTAGCCAATATATAAAAGTTAGTTCACATAAAAACTAGGAGTTCTGAAAATACCAGGCATACATTTCTGCAAGGTGACACACAATTCCCTTGATAAAGTAAAAGATGCCCTCTTCAGATTCATTAAGCAACTCACCTGTTCCCTGTCTTTCCCTGCCTCCCTTCACTCTTTTCTGTGGCTGTCTTGGCCCCCTCCACGGGCACCGTCTCTGCCTGCTCCCTGTCATGACTCATTATTTCCAATCTCATCTTTCTGCTCCCTGCTGAAGCAAGTTTGAGCTCCTCAGCTCCTCCCAGTCCATCCATTACCTATCAGTTGGTGAAGTTCTCCTCCCCCAGATCTGAGTCCCATCTGCTCACCTCTCCTCAGCACCAGCTGAATGTTCCTCTTGACATCATTGAACCAGCCAGGCACTTCTATGCGACAGCAGTACACCCCACTGTCCCCTTCCTCGGTGTTTAAGATGGTCAAGGAGACATCGCCCCTCCGGATACTCCCTTGGACTCTGTATTTTCCTGACTTTCTTGAGGTCACTTTAGTTCCGTCTGTGTGGATAAGCTCCTGGTTGCATTTGGAATTGGGACATGGGCCTCTTCCCCAGCACATGCTGTTGCTTCTTGGAGACCAGGATGAGTACAAACAGGGCAAAGTCACTGATTGACCCAAAAATGCCTTCTGGATAAGCTCTGACCTAGTTGGTGCTGCAAAGAAAAACAGAAAAACTAAGTTGTGTGGTACCAAAGTCTCTATATGCTACAGTTTTTGTGTAGATAGATGCTTCCAGAAAGATGTAGAGTCACACTCTATGTGTTTCTTTAGCATAGATTTTGATATGCCCTTTAACCCTGCCAAGCTTCTATCTCAACATGCTGCTGTCCCAAATGGAGAGAGTTGGCCACCAGAGTCTCTAAGAATCTCAGAATTCATTTCAGAAGCAAGACCTCTTTGTTGATGTGAACACTCCCATCTTGAGTGCATTTCAATAAGCCAATAAATTCTCAAATGAGAAGCCCTGACCTTATAATTCAATTACACTATTTTCATATAAAACCAATCCAAAATCAACTATGGATTCACCATACTCAATAAGCAAATATTGTGCACTACTGGTTGAATGCCTCAAAAAGAACAGTGGTGGACCTGGAAGATGAGCTGGTAAACTGTTTTCCACATGCTTTTCCATTTTTAGTCCATACTGGAAATGAAATTGGCTTGCTCCAGACTATCTGTTTGCTGTTTACATAATATGACTTCAGGAGGAGTTCATGGATTATTTACCAATTGGTCTTTAATGGAAAAATAATGATTGTATTTTGGAGCACTCAGTATACACTTTTGATTTATGAATACATTATAGTAAGTTTCAGTTTAAGTAAGGTACTAAGTAAGGTAACATCAAAGAGGTTTCCTATTTTGTGGTTTGAGCAATTAAGAATCATTTAGCGATTTTGAAATATCTACTACACTATTTTTATTAACTGTGAATACCACGCAGTGCAATGAAGCACTAAAATTTATTGCCCTTCCACTGTGATGTAGAGCCAGATGACTGCACCTAAATCTGTCTTCATTCAAGGGTGGGTGTGAGCCAGCTAAATCTGTCTTCATTCAAGGGTGGGTGTGAGGTGTTGTGTTCCGAGACTACTACAACATCCTGCTCCACTCTAACAAATCTGGCAAAAGACATAACCGGAAATTCACACCTGAGGAAACAAGAGCAGCCAGTGAGTTTCAGCTATTAGACTGGCAATGACTTAGGGTACAGACGATGTCACACTGGCCAGGGTGTCATTAAATGAGGCTCCCAGATATTTCTGGGCAGGCAGGAAAGGATGAATGTGAAATAAAATGAGGGCATGAGTTAGCACAGCTATTCCTGGAGTAAGTCAGAAATTTTTGCTCACATTCAGTACATGAATCCTAGCTACATCCTGAAGATCGCACAGATGTCACCTCTTTTAGAGAAACACATGCCTATTTGCAGGTGCTTATCGCAGCCTCCACAGTGGACCACACTGTGCACACAGGGCAAATGATTAAAGCACAGCTACTTAGATTCCATGAAATTCCATATGGATGAGTAGAATGAGACACTTATATGAACTGACATGAAAACTCTAAGCTGGATTTTAATATATAACAAGAGCAAATATAATTATATATATTTCTGCTTAGAATGCATAAGATTGAAAACTAGAATGAAGCGAGTCGGGGATATCGCTTAGTGGCATAAGCCCATGTCTGGCAAGTGCAAGGTCCTGAGTTCAATTCCTGGTACCAAAAAAAAAAAAAGAGTTAATAAAAAAGAAATCTAGAATTTAATATAAAACTTTTCTCTGTTAAATAAAGGAATAAATTGGTTTGTGTTTTCACAGCCTCAGTTGTATGAAAATGAATGCACTGAAAAGTGTCTGATGGGACAGACGCCAAGCTCCTGGCTTTAGTTACCTCCAGGATGAGAGGAAAAGGCCTGGACTTGGGTGTAATGGTAAAGAAGGATTTCATTCACTTAATCTTCCTTTTGCAATGTTTTCACTATTTCACCAAGAGTTTCTATATTCCTCACTTGATAAAAATTTCATATTTTATAAAAGGAAGCAGAGAAGCTTGGGCAATCAGCAGCCACCCCAGGGAGAATCAGCCAGCGTCTCCCAAGATCCGCCCCATGTTGGAATTTAGGGCGCTGGGAAACCAAGCAACCAGCTCAGACTCCCCGGTAAGTGGCTGTGAGCCTACCGGCACACAGGCTGAGAATCAAACATCCCACCCTGTCCCCCACATTAGCAAATGGGAGCTAGAGGTCTGAGCCTCTCTTGGGAGGTTGACCATATGCAATATAGCAAATGGGGAGATTTCCTTCTACCATCTCTTTGAAGGCAAATATTGTCATCACTGTTTTGCTTTGTTCTGATTGATGTTCTGATATTCTGTTTTGATAAGTTCTATACTGTTCTCTATTTGGTTGTGTTTTGCTACATCTGATTGAAATAACAACCATTGTGAAGATAACAAGATATACTATGGCACCTGTTACTGTTATCCCTGGGGCCTGTTGTGACATTCTGTAACAGTTCCACTGCACTGCCTCAATTAGCTTTGTTCTGTCTTGTTCTGTTGTATTTCACTATCTTCAAAATAAAAAAAAATTTTTTTAAGTAAAAAAAATAAAAAAGGAAGCAGAGTTTGGGTGTAACAGAAAAACACCCATTTTGGTTACATGGTAAACCTCATGCTGCCAGTCACTGCTTTGGTGTCCTTGGAGGGAAATCAAAATAATTGTCATCATAAGACAAAAAGGATAACACTCGCCTCAGGAAGAGTCTTTTCTTCACAGTACAAAAGCAGGTTCACAGGACAAAAAGCATCAAATGCCATGTGAAATTAATAACTATTAGTACAAGTAACCAAACACATTGGAACTTAGAAATAAGACAAGATACCTCTTTCCAGATGCAGAGCTATTAAGGAAAAAAGAAGACAGGTGTGGTAGCTCACACCTGCAATGCCAACACATGGGAGGCTGAGGCAGGAGGATCACTGCAAGTTCAAGGCCAGCCTGGGCTACAAAGTGAGCTCAAGGCATCCTGAACTGCATAGTGAGACCCTGTCTCAAAAAAGACAAAAGAAAAAAAAAAAGGAAAGGAAACACTGGTAAGGGAAGAAAAAAGTCAGGAAGGGAAACACTCCTTTCTCTGGAATACGTGAGTGTACATACCCTAACCTACATCCTCTTTAGCTGGTGACTTTAAGCAAAGTTCTTCCCAATCCAGACCCTGGTTTCACCATGCATAGCAGAGGTGGCGAACCTAAGGCACACATGTGACTGTGCTTTTAAGACATGTAAGTTGTTTTTTTCTAAATGAAAACCTCCATATTCAGATTTAAATGTGGTATTGGCACTTTACAATAAGTAAGAGGGTTTCAGTGTGTAGTTTGACACTCAATCTCTAAAATGTTTGCAATCATGGATCTACAGAACGAAGGGCTTTGCTAGGTGCTTCTGAAGAACACATCCACTTTATGGTTCCCTATACAATCTCTCTCCTTTAAGTATTTTAAAGTTTTAGAAAAAGCATGCTTAAAAAATCAAAACAGAACAGAACCAGTCAACCGAACCAGAAAGTTCACCAGGTGCAGCCTCATTCAAGCAAGGTGGAGAAGCTCATGGGATCAGAATCCTGAAAGAATCAGTGCATGTGGACATGGACCTTGGCAAACTATGACTTGACCCCCAAACCTCAACTTCCTCAGGCAACATACAGGCCAGCAAAAACACTGGGAAAGAACCAGGCTTGCTGAGCATGTTGCAAGGTTCAGCTCTGTCTGGACAATTTAATAAGACATAGCCTCAAAAAAAGAAACATTTTTTTTAAAGTTTTTTAAAAATTTTATGTTAAAGAGAATAAAGCCAAATAAAAAAAGCAGAATAAAGCTGATCAAAATAAAACACTGAAAGTGATACAGGGCTCCAAAACAAGATAATAAGAAATCAACAATGGCTACCAGAATATCTCTTGAAAAAATAAATATTTTTTTAAAGGGCTGAGGATGTAATGCAGCTCAATGTCCTAGGTTCAATTTCCAGTACCACAAAAAATAAACTCAGAATAATGGACTATAGTTTTCTTACATTAATAGAGGGATGGCAGGAGAAACTTACACTGTACCCAAAACACAAATGCAAAAGCGACAGGATTGCTTTTGTTCCACACGTTATTTCCTGTCTGCTATGTACCTGGTATGGAACTAAGTGCTGGAATACAACAGCAAACAAAGCGAACCAACATGGCGCCTGGGGAAGGAGGCCCCCAAGTGAGCAGATACTAAGGGGCACAAGATGTGGGGTGCAGAACTCCAGGGGTGATGAGAACTCATGGCCAATAAATCCTCAATTAGTCTGGAGGCAAAAGCTTGACTTCCTGGGAAAGCTGAAGACTATGGAGTGAAGGATGACAGAAATTCACAACTGAATAACCACGGAGCTTTAAATGGCAAGGGCCACTAGATCAAGGGCCTTGATGAATAGACAGTTAAAGGTCTCAATTACAGTCCCTCCCTGCATACTTAGAGGAGCCAGTGCAATTTATGCATATTCTCAGAGTCATTACCAGCAATCCCTGCAGTGGCAGCCTAGATCAGAGCAATGGCCATATACTCCATGAAAAAAGTTTTCATTGGCCCAAATGTAGGGTATACATTCGCATTATCCAAGTGCTGGTAACAGTATGCAAAAAAGAAACCTCTCACTGAAGCCCTATCCCCAGCCAAATGAGCAAACACTCCTGAACAGAGAGAAGAGGAAGAAATACAGAAGGGGCTCTCAGCAGAACAGCTTGCTCTGTCTCTGACTGTGCTGTAGCACACACGCAGATGAAAGTTCTTGGCCCCCTCCGTCCAACCCTTACTTCTATGTCTTTTGTTCTCAAATTGCTTTTCCCATGTAAATACAAATTACCTCACTCTATAACCCCCCAATCAATCTCTGGGTAAAAACCTTGTGTAACAAGGCAGTAGAGAGACTCTCACAAAAACAAAACAAGGCTAAAGGAGGGAGGAACATAACAGAAACCCACTGTATCATAAGGAGCCCCCCAAGGAGTCCCACATGAAAGGCTTTTGAACACTTACTCAGATAAAGCCACCCAAGCACTACTGCCAGCCAGAGGATGAAAACCCCTGTGGACATTTTGACAGGAGTCTGTCTGTCTGTCACAAATTCATGTTTTATACCATACTTCCTGCTGACAGGGTGGGACGTGGTAATTTCATTTCTCTTTTTTCCTCCATATCTTCCTTTTCCTCTGCCTGAATAGCCTCCCTCTACTAGAGATGCACAATAAAATATGCTGAGTGCTCTTCCTATGGTGCCCGGGGGTGCGTACAGATGGGTGGATAAGCCACGCTCATCTTGACTGCTGCAAATTTGGCAGTAAAACGGCATAAACTCTGCCCAGGTAATGGCTCCCAGGGGGATTCCTTGTGGGCACCAAAGGAAAGTTAGACTGGATCCCAGGCTGGAATCATTCTCCCGCTGCCTCCTGCTCTCCTTGCCCTCATAATAGAGAAACGATGACAGGGTCTCTATCTCATCGCATCACCCCAAACAACATGTAGTTTTTTGGGAAGGAAAGGGGAGGTTCAACAGAAGCACCCTGGGGTTACAACACAGACCCAGGCCACAGCAGAGCCAAGGTCTGGGTCCAACACTACTAACTGACAGTGAAACCACTTGATGGGGAAAGTCAAGGAGATAAAGCAGAGTACAGACCTGAGTGAAGGAGATGATTTTATTGTCCTTTCAAGGTTCCACAGATATAGTGATCTATCTGTCCAGCACTACAGAGAAAAGAAATGAAGGGGTCAAATCAGTGCTTACCAACCAGATGTGTTTTGCAAATCAGAACTGTTTTCATTACTAATATTTGCTGTTTGATTATATGCCAGCTACTTGATAGTCATACAGTGCAGTATTTAATTTTCAAAACTCTAAGAAATACATTTGTCTTGTATCATTTAACAGTCAAGACAAATGAAACTTTAGGGAGCTAAGTAAATCACTCAGTAATCACAGCTAAATAGTTGTAGAAATAGGGCTTAAGGGGCTGAGGATTTAGCTCAGGGGCATAAGTGCCTGCCTTGCAAGCAGGCAGTCGTGAGTTCGATCCCTGGTACCAATAAAAAGGAAAAAGGAAAAAAAAAAAAAAAAAAAAAAGAAATAGGACTTAAACACAGGACTTCCTATTTCTAAAGCTCATGCTTTTAATCACCACATCCTACTTTGACTTGTGATTCTTAAGGTAATATCCATCATCCCAAGTCTACCCTACCTAGCACTAGAAAATATATTAGTGGATGCACAAGTATTCTGTAAAACTTCTCATTTGAATGTAATCAGCTATATAAGATAGAGTTCAACATAGCTCACACAGTGGAATTCTTTCAGATGAGGCTCTAGACTCAAATGAATTCCATAAATGACAGACAGGAAAATGTGGAAATGGATAGAAAATCTTCCCATCAATGTCCACAGACTGTTGGAACCTAACCAGGATTACATCCCTAACCTAGGAAACAGGAAGGTTCATCTTTGGATAAACTGAATGGGCCTATAAAACTCATATTAATATTGAGGTATTCTTCAATGTACCATGCAATCCTCCTTAATAAAAATCAATACTGCATGACATTAGACATGACACCGAGCTGGTCATTAGTTTTTGTTCTGTAACACCTTTAGATACAGACAAAACTAAGGCTCACCCACACACTTGAGGAAAGATTTCAACTTGACCAAAGTAATAAAGAGATAAGTGGAAAAAATTTTCAAATGTTGCTTTGAAAACTAATTATCATCTCAAAAAGAAAAATCTTACATCCAAAAAGAACAGAGAAGTTATAAAAAGGAAAAAGCAGACACTACAGAAGAGATCTTGAAAATTAAAAATTTTATCTCTTTTACCTCAAAACTTTATGGGATTTTGAAAAATACAGAGAATTTGCCATAAAGTAAAATAATCTAAAAATGCTATATTCAGTAGTATTGTTTCAGTGTGTTAAAAAAATACAGACAAGGAAATTATTAAAGCAATAAATAAAAATTTATTTCTATTACTAAAAGACTTCAGATTGGGAAACCAAATGCTAAACTCCATGAATAAAAAGATCTCTCACAAAACAGTACACAATCATGTAATATACTGCATTAAAAGCATTTGTTGTTCTGAAAAAAAAAAAAACCTAGAAAAATTCCACAGGAATGTTTTTAAAATTCACATGGAAAAATGCTTTTCAACCTAGAATCTTACTTCTGGCTAATTTATTGTTCAAACATAATATAATAATGACTTTTTTGAACATAGAAGAATTAAAATTTACTTTCCACACTCATTTTCCCAGGAAGCTACAGGAGAGAAACATACAGAAAAACTAGAGAATTCACCAGGAAAGAAAGTCATTGGATCTGGAAAACAACTTATCTGATTCAAGGAAAGGAAAATTCCAGAAAGACAGTTGCAGAACAGAGCCAGAGAGCAACTGCTTGCATCTTTATCACTGTACGACCAACTACCCTAAAACTTGGTGCCCAGAAAGTTTACTTTCTGTATTCCTTGGGTTGACCGATCTCTGCTGGACTTTCTTCATTCAGGTACAGTGGCTGGAGCTGGAGTCATCTCAAGATCTACCTGGACTGTTTATGCAAGAGACCTTTTTCATGCATATGAGTGCTCATCAACAACGACTTTTTACTAGCATGTCTAATGAACTGAGAGAGTATCTATAAGGGTCAGGGGCTGGACTGGCATCTCCATATGGTACCTTGGGCTTCCTTAATATAAACAGTTTTTGTAATAGTGGATATTTTTACATAATATCTGACTTTCTCAAAAACAAGCATTGCCACAGTCTCAGGAATAACATCCGATTGTTTTTACCTAACTTTGTAATGTCATTCATTATTATTTTCATAGTATTCTACTAGTCAAAAAGTTTTAGCACCATCTCAGAATCAAGTGTAGAAAAATACTGTGGTAAAATAAGTAACAGAATGTGAGGTTCACTGGGGACCATAGAGAAGCATGTCTGGGGACCAGACATCATAATAATAAAGCCAGGCTGCTTGGAGGCAGAGGCACATGGTTTGGGGTGGTAGTGGAATTGTGTTACTAGTTATTTCAGGTACTGTGTGTTTGAATGATTTTGTTTATACTAGCAATCAAACCTAGGACCTGTTCAGTGCTAAGATAAATCCCCAGGTCTTTGGAAAGTGTTTTAAATTTTGAGACATGATCTCACTAATTTGCCACACTGGACTCAAACTTGTCTCTTGTGTCTAATTCCCAAAATAATGGATTTATAGAAATATATCAACAAAATCAGCTGCATTAGGGTATTTTGAAAAGGAAAGCAACAGGTTTTTGATAGATGGCTTGGAATTTTAAAAGTAAATTTTTTGATTACTTGATGATTAAGAAAAGATAAATATGAGGTAGCTGTTATTAGGAAAGATAAAATGTGTAGGAAAAGAAATATAATTGGACAGCTACATGGTCATAGTAATGTAGAGTCTGTTTACAGATTTAACATAAAATTGAGACATAACTAAATTAGAAAGGTAGAAAACATGCTGTACAAATACTTAAAAACCCAGTTAGTAGGGGTTATTACATAACCATCAATAAAATAATACCAGAATATGCACATTAGTAATATGGAAGCAAAAAACAAAACACAGATGCTCAAAAGAATTTCAATTGTAATGGTAAAGAGTGGGAAAGGAATCCACTAATTTTTATTTTTATTTTTTTTTAGTTACAAACCATTTGCATTAATGTTACTTTTCCTTATCGAGCACATATAGCACACAGACCTTAGTTTCTAATAGCACGCTCTTAAGTATCTGGTCTTAATGGAGGGGGTTCGGGGGAGGGGTGCCAATGCTTTGAGTTCATGCCACGTGCCAGACATGGTGCTAAATAAACTCGCAGACTAACTCTGAAGATTTAGCAAAAAATAAATAAATAAATAAATAAATAAATAAATAAAATAAACTCGCAGACTGCCATATTAGACCAGACATTTTTGTTTTCAAGAATCTCTAAGCCTAGCGCCGCCTAGTGGGAGAAAAGCAGGTTAACAAGCAATACAATACACGTGGCTGTGAGATGTGACAGGGATAGGCCAGAACACTATGGCAACGGTGGAAAATTATTTTCAATCCAGTATTGAAGATGGAAGAAGATGGAAGAGGAGGCTCAGGGAAACTCTGAAATCCAGTCCAAAGATATTGGGGAGAATCGAGTGGTTGAAAATAATTTTAGAAGGCAGAGCATATGAAAGTCCAATGTATTATCACAGTACCTTAGTAGACAAATTTCAACTTTATAGATGTTTATCATACTATTTAAAATAAATGAAGAAACATAGACATAAAAACAAGACAGGTAAATAGGTAAGTCAATACTGAGACTAGGTAGTTATCCAAAGACAATGACTGATGTGTTTCGTTTCTGTGCAAGTGTGTATATGTGTGTGACTGTGGGTGTGAGTTTCACACCCACATGAAGAAGCAAGCATGGGGTCGAAAGAGCAGGCAGGATCACCTCACAAAGAGCCTGACACTTCCCATGAAGGACAACAGGCATGATCCTGAAAGCAAAGACAAATCCAGTTGTGTGGATAACTACTGATCATGAGAGAGTAAAGTTTATAGTCAAAACACTCCAAAAATTGCAAGAATTTTCACCAAAATGGTGTTCAGGGCTAATGAATTTGTAAGAACTCTATTTCTTACAACTTAGGCAATATATAACTGTGTAAGAGGTGATCAAAATCTGTGGTGAACAGTTAACTTTTCCAAAATTATTAAAGGAAAATTACCATTCATATACCTCAAAATATCCAATCAAAATATCAAATGTATTTACCCCATTCCTGCAGCATTCTGAAACAGCTGTAAAAGTCTTCTTTCACGAGAGGCTTCGTAAGGTATGCTAAAAAAATAGTGAATGCTGCTGCTTCTGACTGCCATCTAATGGAAAACGAGGCTCATAAAAAATAGAACAGTATCCTCATCTACCTTATTCACCAAACATGTCACCATGCAATTTCTGGCACTTCCCCAAAGTCAAGATGACCATGACAGGTACACATTCTGAACGGGTTCAGGATACTGAGGCAGCTACGACAGCCCTGCTAAAGACACTGCGGGGAGAAAACAACTGTCTCATGGAGAGGGGCCACTCCGTGACTTATTTCAGTGAA